TATAAGTACAAAAATTCGACCAATGTTTAAACAAGCGCCAGAGCTCTCCTAATTGACGGATTCGAATTTTTCAAAAAGCGTTTGAAAGCCTGAGAGCCCTTCTATACGTGATTAAATTTTCAAGTTCCTAAGGGCCAAATTTTCAAAATTTTTTTTCAGAAGTTGTAATCCAAAATTATGCAAAATCTATCATACCGATTTTGATGAAATTTGGTGTGATGACTCTACATAACATGAAGTTTTCTTAAGCCAAGTGTGAAGGTCCTATACCCAATTTAAAAACCCCAAAAAAATTCCCTAAAAAGTATTGTTTTTTAACCCCAATTTTGGCGATTTTTTCGATTTTTACAATAATCATGATTCATTCGATTTGTAACTAGTCATATTTTGTAAAAAATTAAATTACAAACATTTTTTTACTTTTCCATTTATTTTTCGCCTAAAATCAACTCTTGAAAAGATACATAATTAAATAGGAAGAAAAAATATGACATTTTTCGAATTTTTTTAACATATTGTGACGCCAAAAGTTAAGTCCACGTTTTTTTTATGCGCATAGAAAAATTTTCATTTCTAATGGTATTTGAAAGCCAAAAAGCCAAAAATCTCCGTGGATATACGATTCATCCAAACCGCGCCATTATTCCATGGCTAGAAATTGGCCTCAATGATTTGGGATCGAGGGGGATTATCCCTCTTTATCCTGCCTCATCTCGTGTAGGCCTGGACAGCCTTCGTAGGTGGGCCCCATCCGTCGTCTACCCCGACCGCAAATGCGGCCGGTGTAGGCGCTTTGTGGGACCTCCTTTTGTCCTGGCTGGGCCCCNCTCGCCATTATTCCATGGCTAGAAATTGGCCTCAATGATTTGGGATCGAGGGGGATTATCCCTCTTTATCCTGCCTCATCTCGTGTAGGCCTTCGTAGGTGGGCCCCATCCGTCGTCTACCCCGACCGCAAATGCGGTCGGTGTAGGCGCTTTGTGGACCTCCTTTTGTCCTGGCTGGGCCCTGCCGGCTAGGGCCTTTTCTTCTGGCGTTCTTCTTGCTACCCAAACCAAAACAGATACCGCCTAGTATATAATTAATTTTGACAATTTGGAGATTAACACATACAATTTATTGGGTCAAAAATGTTTAAATATAATAAGTTAATTTTCATTTCTCCAACTTGTACTTTGCACAAAATAAACTCTTTCAATACACACTCTTCTAAAAGTTTATAATAAGGTAATACAACTTATGCTTTCTTGTTTCACAGCACACAGATTTATCCCAATACTTGGAAAGGCACAGCGGCGGTCTGGACCCCCGCAACGTGCGCCTCTTCCTCTTCCAGCTGCTGCGCGGCCTCGCCTACTGCCACAAACGTCTAGTGCTGCACCGCGACGTCAAGCCCCAGAACCTCCTGATCAGCGAAATTGGCGAACTGAAGCTGGCCGACTTCGGCTTGGCCAGGGCCAAGTCCGTGCCCAGCCACACCTACTCCCATGAGGTGGTCACCTTGTGGTACCGGCCGCCGGACGTCCTACTTGGCAGTACCGAGTACTCCACCTCACTTGACATGTGGGGGGTAGGATGCATCTTCGTGGAGATGATCACGGGCATGGCCATATTTCCCGGTGTAAGGGACACCTATGATCAGTTAGATAAAATTTTTAAGGTAGAGAATCACCTATATTTCTTTGCTAGAGTTCCAAAATAGGAGGCGTAGTCTCATAAATAAATCGGGCTGTAATTTTTAAGTATTAATTTCCAGCTTAGGCGTTTCCTTGCTTGTCATATGCGTGCAAATGGGAAAAACATTATTCGTGTCTTTAAAAATGGAATCATGTGCGAGCGTTAGTGAATAATCTCTTAATAATCAGGGTAGTTTTAAATGAATTTAACAAGACTTTTGTATGATAAACTGCCTTCAGTTTTGGGAATCTAGTATATTACATTAACTGATCATTTACTAAGTGCCCTTGAGGTCGAAAGAGTTGAATCAATGGTGTTGTTCCTCGTAGGTATTAGGTACTCCAACAGAAGAAGACTGGGCTGGCGTCACTAGACTGCCAGGTTACAAACTACATAGGATAGGTCAGTACAGGCCCAGACGGTTGGGGCTTTGTTGGCCCAGGCTGCACGATGTAGTTCACGGCGAAGCCATGGCCATGGCCCTTCTACAACTAGACCCCCAAAAAAGACTGGGCGCTGAAGAAGCAATGACCCATCGTTACTTTGATGGGCTACCTAAGAAGCTTCTAGAACTGCCAGATGGTGAGTAAATTCGTATTGAGAACTGTTTTTTCTTGAAGAATGTTTGGAGTGTTTGAAATTAACAATTGAAAGCCGCTTTTCTTTCAGATTCTTCAATATTCACTGTTGAAGGTGTACACCTATGTCCAGAGCAGTATTCGGGTATAAAATGAGGTTGGCCTTGTCTACCTCTCTCAGGAAAAAAACATCTTTAAGCAATGACCACAGTCAGTCAACCGTATCCCTTTACATACTTGCTTCACGATTAAAAAAAAAACTTTAATGACACCTCGTTGTGCACTGCTGTTGCAATTATTTTTATTATGTTTACTGTTTAGTTAAGGTTAATAATATTTTGATTATTCGTTATCGCGCATCTTAGGACAATTATGCGGTTTCATTAAAAAAAAAGACTGGAAAATATATTTTCTGAATGGTTTGGATATAACTTGTTGGTTGGCTAGGAATTTTTCAGTAACGTCCAGGATTCAACGAATTTTACAGAAGAAAGCCATAAGTATATATAACTTACGAACTAAAAATGCCACAACCGACAAATTATTAACAATGGGGGGACACTAACATTTATTTATTTTTAAATTATTGCAAAATCTTAGTGCAATTTTAGACAATTTTACTATCTTTAATATTGTATAGGGGCCATTCAGAATTTTCTTTTTTAATTAACCAGGATTTAGTTACCTTTTCTTACGTTATTTAAGGAAATTTCTTTGGTTTTTCGACAGTGTTTATTTCGTTTTTTGGGGGGTAATTATTACTCGCAAAATTACATCATATTTATAGTTATATTTGGATGATACCTTCATAAATTGTTTATGTACAATTTACAAAATGTATATTCTAAAAATCACTTAAAATGTTTCAAAAGTAATTTTCAACTACATATATACAAGTTCGGAAAGTCCCCATGGTACATCGGCCGTTACGTGAGAGCGATAAAGTAAGTCATAGAAATCCGTGCGATAGAGAAGGATGGGTATAATGAAGGCGTCTCATAGTCACCGCCCGTTTCGCCCTTTCACAAATAAGATCCACTTCCACTTGTAATTCAGCGACCGGTGGTCATCTTTGTTTTCGTCCTTTGCCTTTTCTTTAATAGATGTCACTACTTATACAATTCCGACTCCATGTTAATACAATCCAGTAACAGAGGGCAGCACAACGCGTAACAAAGAAAACTTTTTCAGGGTTCGTAGGGGCCAGGAAAACCGGGAATACCAGGAAAAGTCAGGGAATTTGTTATTCTTCATAAAAAACAGGGAATAGTCAGGGAATTTTAAAAATTGAAACTGACTGGAAATTTTGTGAAAGCCGGCCCTGGGTTCTTGAAAGAGAAAACTATTTGTTGTTTTGAAACCTTTATAAGAGGTTGTTAGGGTATAAAAAAGATTATGGAGTCCAGTCGAGAAAAATTTTTATGCATAAACACCAATTGGTATGTAAAAATGAACTACAAGTGACCTGGATTTTTTTTTATAAGTCAGGGAAAACCTGGAGAAGTCAGGGAATTCTTTATTACTTTTGAACTATGAACTCTGTTTTTACATTAGTGACCTTGTTTCCCCTGCTGAGAAGTTATTCAAATGGAGTATAGTGCTCAGCTGCATTTAAAGTTCAATTCGTTGTTATTTAAGTATACTTTGCCCTCTGTTAGCGGATTGTATTAACATATCGGAATACCGGAGTCGGAATTGTATAAATAGTGACATCTATTAAAGAAAAGGCAAATGACGAAAACAAAGATGACCACCGGTCGCTGAATTACAAGTGGAAGTGGATCTTATTTGTGGAGGGGCGAAACGGGCAGTGACTATGAAACACCTTCATTATAGCCATCCTTCTCTATCACACTTATTTCTATGACTTACTTTAT